TGGTCATCCATTGGTCATCCATTGGTCATCCATTGGTCATCCATTGATCATCCATTGGTGGTCATCCATTGGTCATCCATTGGCCATCCATTGGTCATCCATTGGTCATCCATTGGTCACCCAGTGCTGATCCAGGAATCCCTCGGACATCTCCAGGGATGGGATCCAGCCCTCCCTGAGCCCCTTTTGCTGCTTCCCAACCCTTTTCCCATGGAAAAATCATCCCAAATTTCCCACCCTGGCACAGCTCGAGGCCGTTCCCATTCCCTGGCATCAGATCCCAAATCCCCGCTGGGATCAGATCCCAAATCCTTCTGGCAGATCCCAAATCCCCCCTGGCAGATCCCAAATCCCCGCTGGGATCAGATCCCAAATCCCCCCTGGGATAAGATCCCAAATCCCCCCCAGGATCAGATCCCAAATTCCCCCAAGATCAGATCCCAAGTCTCCCCTGGGATCAGATCCCAAATCCCCCTGGGATCAGATCCCAAATCCCCCTGGGATCAGATCCCAAATCCCCCTTTGGATCAGATCCCAAATCCCCCCTGGCAGATCCCAAATCCCCCCCAGGATCAGATCCCAAATCTCCCTGAGATCAGATCCCAAATCCCCCCAGGATCAGATCCCAAATTCCCCCTTTGGATCAGATCCCAAATCACCCCTGGCAGATCCCAAATCCCCCCTGGCTGTCCCCAGGCTTTGGGGTCACTCTGGTCGTCCCCAGTGAGGGGGAGACGTGACCCTTGGGGTCCGTGTCCCACTGTTCATCTGGACAACGGAGGTGGATCTCGGATGGATTTGGGGAGATTTGAGACATTCTGGGGAGTTTGGGTCGATTTTATGGGGATTTGAGGGGTTTGGGGAATCTTGGGGGGTTTTCAGGAGATTTGAAAGGTCACTCCAGTGGGGATGTGGGGCATGAACGTTGCAACGTCAGACACGAGAACTGCGCGGAACAGGAACCTGCATCACATGCGCTGTGCCCACTTCCCTTCAGAGCCTCCAGCTCCACTTTTGGGGGGTCTCGGGGGGCTCTGGCTTCGGGGGTCCTCGGGGAGCAGCCGCCCCGCGAGCAGGGTCCCACCCTGAGGAGGGTCCCACCCTGAGGAGGGTCCCAGCTTGGGTTTGGCCCCGTCCCACCCGTGGAGGTGACACTGGGGACAGAAGATGGTGCCGGGGCTGACGCGGAACCTTCTGCTCTTCCTCCTCTTCCTCGCGCCAGGTACGGGGCTGGGGTGGGGACGCGGCTCTGGGGACAGTTGGGGACCTCGGGGTGACCCCACCCTGTCCCCACAAGGTGGGACCCTCCCCACGGGAGCCGCCGTGCCCGGGGAGAGGAACGGAGTGACCCACAGGAGGTCCCAAAAAAATAGAAACAAGGGAAAAACGAATCCCTGAGGGATTTGGGGTGGGAAAATCCGGAATCCTGGTCCTGCCCCTCTGCGTGCAGAGGGCCCCAGGAAGGGTGAGGTTATTGAAATTTTATTTTCAACAACTGAGCGATTTCCGTTTTGAACGTGGTGGGAACGCCAAGACCTGGGGAGGGACCAGCGTCCCAACTCCACCATCCCCAATTTTTTTGGCAGCCTGGGCAGGAGAGCCCCAAACCTCGCAGGTGACCGGAGCCGTGGGCGGGGTGGCGCTTCTGAACCCCCGCAGCCCAAAAAACCCCTTTAGATATTCCCAAATCCATTGGCGCTGGGAAAACGAGCTGAGAATCGCCGGCTGCGGACGCGGGGAGCAGCCCCGCTACCCCCAGAGCCGCTTCCGGGGCCGCCTGGAGCTCCTGGAGAACGGCACGCTCCGGATGGGCCCGCTGGAGCTGGCCGACAGCGGCCAGTACCACCTGTACCTGGAGGATGACACGGGCAGGGAGAGCATCGAGAAGGTCCAGCTGAAGGTCTACGGTGAGTTCGGCGATGGGGAATTGTCCCACAGCTCCAGGAGGACGTTGGGACATCCTGGGGGTTGTCCCACAGCTCCACGGTGGGAGTTGGGGAGGTTGTGATGTCATTGAGAGAACGTCCCAGAGCCTCACTGG